CTTACTAAGGGATTGAAGGTCTTTCATGAGCATACTGTTTATATGGGTGTAATATCTCTTGAGGATGTCTAGAATCGTGGGAGTTCGTATTTTTGTTTTTCATATTAGACACATGTACTATTATTTTGAATATAATTTATGGTTAAAATTATTTTCAATTATAAAGTTTTTTTTTTTTTGTTTATTATCTCTGACTTGTTTGAAAATGATCTCACTAAGATATTAAGGTGGATTAGTTGGAAATAGGCATGTTAAGATCGCATCACATGTAATTTCCATGCTTGATCTATGTCATTCAGTTATATCGATATACATGACCATTGATGGGTTTAGTTACGATTAAAGTAGTAAAAACTACTTTGATCCTATATTGATATAATTGATAGATCAGATTGTTTGGGGATGCTTTCGGTAATAATAGCAAAATTCTGAGCACTCATAAATTTATGTTTAATACACAATTATAAGGTAACACATATAGTCCAAGTGGGAGATTGTAAGGATTTTTTAAACGATCGTGTGGGCTCATATGTGAATTATTGTGTATTAAATTAAAGGCTATTAAATTTGGTTAAACCCATTTAAAGTGTTCTAATAAGGTTTCGTTATTTCGGGTTTTGATTAATCTAATTTAAATCATGGAAGACATAACCAAAGAGAAAAAGGAGCTACGTGTTGATTTTGAAAACATAACAGCAAGATTCAATCGTTGCAATTAACAATGTTTAATTCAAGTATGCTTCCGCTTTGGTTCATATGTTCTTGATGATACAACATGATATATTTGGCTATTTTGATGGCAATTAATTTCTCCCACACAATTAACTTTAACAACATATTTCATATGATCACAACTTTTCAACCATTAAGTTTATCATTTTTTATTACATTGAAGATATAAGTGCTCATTCACTTGTCACGTGTATAAATAGTTTATATTGTTACATTGAAGATGATTTAACTGGCATTGAAGAGCGAGCGTGAGAAAATTTGTTTGTTGTTTATAATTTTTATGGCATACCGAAGTTACTATTCAAATTTGAAATTTACAAAGGGCTAAATATATTCTAAATCTTGAAATTTTGGAAATCGATTGATATCGTTTCAATCGTGATCTTACCAATTGGTTGTGTGATTGACATATGGATATGGAGATGGAAGGACATGAGAGTTGTTAAATGAATCGAGTCAAGCCATTCGTTCAACCACAATTAGGCTCGACTCAATCCACCATGCAAGCCATACCATCTATGAGTAGTGGATTCATCTGATACAATGTGTTTAACATCATATAGTTTTTTTCACAAGAGTTATTACCATCACTAAGATATAATACTACCAAAATATACGTAACTATTACTTCCAATATAAGACATAGCAAAAAATAAAAATAAAAAAATACTATCTTCTTAGTTATTGAAAAAATAATTTTAATTCTCATTTAATCAGTGCCCCACGCACACTACTCATAAGGCTCGCCTAGCTCGACTCACGTGCGGCTCACAAGAGTGATTTGCATGCCGCTTAATGCTTTTACTCACGTGGTAGGTTGAATAGAGATTTAATGGAGAATGTGTGGTTATAAATAAATAACAGTTTTGAATTCGCGTGTAATATTATTTTATTGAAAAATGTGTGGTTGTAAAAAAAGAGAGAAAAAATATATATTTTGAACAAAATAGAATCAAACAAGGCTTAAATTTCATTTAAGAGTAATTATAAGAAAAATTTGTCCTTTGTGTATAATCTGAGGCTACCTAAAGTGTTCATAGATATTGGTCAATTTTTGAAATTAAAAAAGGGTTTAAACTATTTATTTAGAAAATTTAAAAGTCGGTTGTCATTTGCAATCCACCTATAGGTTGTTTGATGTGGTCCACAAAGATGGAGATGGCGGAGCACGGTTGAAATGTTAGGTTGAGTAGAATTAAATGTTATTAAAAAGAGAACGAGTTAATTTTTTTTTTTTTTTTGTTTGATATAATTCTCGTTTGGTAGCAATTTTTCACATTCAAAAAAATTAATTTTTTGACTGTTATTTCACTATTTTAACCGTCATTTTTGACTTCTTTACTCACTGATAGGACCAACTTTTCTCCCTAACGATCAAAAAATCAATTCTCATAATTACTACCGAACATGTCCATAATATTTTCAACTTACAAAATATGTTTCTAGTTATTTGAATTCGAAAAAAGGTTAATCAAATTATTAATTTTAAAAATAAGAAAATTGGTTGACTATCATATATATTTATATATATATATATATATA